CTCCTTGCTGAAACCTAAAGGAGATGAAAACTTGTGTCCACATAACAACCTGCACACGGTGTTTATAGCAGCTTCATCCAGAGTCCCCCAAACCCAGGACAGCCCCGGTGTCCTTCAGCAGGTGAATCCGAGTCCCCCAAACCCGGGACAGCCCCGGTGTCCGTCAGCGGGCGAGTCGGAGTCCCCCAGACCCGGGACAGCCCCGGTGTCCGTCAGCGGGCGAGCCGGAGTCCCCCAGACCCGGGACAGCCCCGGTGTCTGTCAGCAGGTGAGCGGATAAACAACCTGTGGTCCATGTGGACCACGGGATGCTAGTCGGCACTAAGTAGAAATGGGCTGTCGAGCCAGGAAGAGGCAGGAGGGACCCTCGATGCGTGTTCCGAGGTAACAGTAGCCAGTCTGAGAAGGCTACACACGGCATGACACCAAGTCTGCGACATTCTGGAAAAGGCAAAACCGTGGAGACGGTAAAAGATGAGAGGGGGCCAGGGGCTGGGGGGACGGGAGGGACGGTCAGCACAGATTCGGGGCAGTGAAACTGCTCCGTGTGACACTCTGACAGTGGGCACACGTCCTTACACACCTGTCCGAACCCTCAGCACGCACGGGCCGAGAGTGAGCCCTGAGGGAAACTGTGGATGCCGGGTGCTGCTGAGGCGTCCCGATCAAGTATCCACGTACGTTCACCGACTGGGACACGGGTACCACTCTGCCGGCGATGTTGACAACTGGGGCGATGGTACACGAGTGGGGGCAGGGGTGCACGTGAGGTCTCTGTGCTGAACCTGAAAGTGCTTTAGAAAATAAAGCCTTAACTTGAGCAGGAAGGCAGGACTCGAGGAGAGCGGGAGTGGGCGTCCCTGCGCCTCCACTGAATCCTCCTGTCTGGCCTCTGCAGAAAACGAGTAAGAGTGGAAGACGATGGACCACAATGACCTTGAACGGGTGGCAGGACAGGTCAGATGTGCTGTGCGGAAGTGGTGCCTTCACGGGAGCAGAGGGCCACGGCCTCTGGCAGACCGCACGCCACACCCATGCGCTGTGCCCCGCTCTCGATCCCTGTCACCGGGAGGACGTGGCCGCGGCGGTGCGTCCCAGCCCTGTGTCGGGCTTTCCACGTACCATGAGGCATGGGGGCTGCGGGAGGCACACACCGGCCCCTGCAGAGGTGCTCACGTCCTGCTGCCTGGAGCCGGGGAATGTGCTGGTTCCACGCAAGAAGGAATTAAGACTGAAGATGGGGGGGGCGCCTGGGGGCTCCGTCGGCTGAGCGTCCGACGTCGGCTCAGGTCAGGATCTCACGGTTCGCGGGTTTGAGCCCCGCGTCGGGCTCTGTGCTGACAGCTCAGAGCCTTGAGCTGCTTCACATTCCGTGTCTCCCTCTCTCTGCCCCTCCCCCGCTCATGTTCTGTTTCTGTCTCAATAATAAATATAGAAAAAAATTTTTTGAGAAAAAAAATTTTAAAAAGACTGAAGATGAAATGAAGGCTGCTAATAGCTGACCTTAAAGTTCCAAGATCCGGTGGGACAGTGCAGGTAGATCCCATGTAATCACAGGCTTCTTAAAAATGGAAGAGAGCAAGGCGCCTGGGCAGCTCGGTCAGTTGAGCGTCTGACCCTTGATTTTGACTCAGGTTATGATCTCAAGGTCGTGGGTTCAAGCCCCATGTCGGGCTCTGGTGCTGACACCATAGAGCCTGCTGGGGATTCTCTCTGCCCCACCCCTGAGCATGCATTCTCTCTCAAAATAAACTTAAGAAAAAGGGACGGGGTGGGGGGGGGCAGAAGAGCCCAGAGGGAGCTCTGACTGGGACGCCGGCCGGCCAGCCGAGGCCCCGCTCCCCTGGGGGTGGGGGGGGCAGGGCCAAGAGCGTGGTGGGGGAAGGGCAAGGACACAGACGCCTCCGGAACCTCCAGAAAGGACCTCGGTCTTGCCGTGCCGAGCCCGTGCTGGACTCCTAAGCTACAGCGCGTGTGCCGGCTGTCACAGCCACTGTGGGAAGCGGACACGGGAACCCAGGTCTTCCTGCATCTCCCGGATCCGGGGGCAGCGGGAGGCAGAACCACGCCGGTGACGTCTCGAGGGTTCATAAACCCAGGACGTGTCGGGACATCCCAAGGTAAAAGAGGAATGGCTGTGCCTTGTACCCACTTCTTGCTTCCAGGAAGAAGCCCAGGAGCGGGCAGGCCCTCAGGCCCTCAGAACACTGCCCGCCCCGCCCACTGAGAGACGCAGAAGGCTTCTGGCCCCAGCAGAGCCCGGAGGCTGTGGCCGAGGCGTGGCTGCCATACTGGGGCCACGTCCTGAGCAGGCCAGCCCTGCTGGAGGGGACCGTGGGGAGAAGGATGCCGTCCGCCAAGCCCGGGGGACAGCCGCAGGCTCTAGAGTAAGGCTCTGCCTTCCAGGCCAGAACACCATTCCTGGTTTGGCGCCGGTGGAGACGGGGGTCCGGCTGGGGCAGCAGGGGACGTGCAAACCGGGCAGCCCGTCGCCACCTGCGGTCCTCACCTGTGGACCCCAGCACGGGGCAGACGCAGTGACGATCCACTGCGTGCTGGGAATGAGGCACCAAGGAGGCACGGGTACATTCCGTGACCCCCTCTCTCCTGGAGGATGGACGCCCCTCCTGAGCCCACGGCCACGGCCTCCTGGGAGGAGAGGAGGCGGAGGGAAGACTCGCAGTTGATGCACAGACGGCTCAGCCCTGCGATCACTGCCCTATTCCCACTCCTCTGTCGGGGGGACCCTCAAGAATGGCGGCGGAGGGGATCCACCTGGTCACCCCTCCCCATGGGTGGAAAGAGAGGCCCCTGGTGTGTGCAGAAAACGGGACCAGGACACTGGCGAAAGGCCTGGCGGGCTCCTCAGGAGCCCCAGCTGACCGTGACCGGGACAACGGAGCCGCGCAGGTCTGGGAAGACACGCGGATGGGCACGCGCCAGGGGCTGGCTCTGCGTCTCACCGGGACACCCCCAGACAGAGCCCACTGTGGAGCACACGTCGGACACGCAGGTGGACAGCACAAGCGTCCTATGAGTGTCAGCCGGCCACCCGGTGCCGATGCGCGGGCCTGCAGTGCGCGGACCGGCCGTGGTGGAGGGGACGCCGGTGACACTCGGACCCGACAGCATGAGGCCCTCTCACGGAGGCTGATGCAGATCGGATGCTGTCCTGCCCGGGAAGCCTTCTCTATGGCAACTCACGTCAGAGATTTGGGGGGCGGCAAGGAGCCTGGGGAAGGCGCCCTCAGAGCGTGAAAACAGATGTGTGTGGTGCTGGCCGGGCTCCCCGCTGCGGAGGCGGCTCTGGGTTAGCAGATGGACCCGGGGGCCTGTTCCCAGGGCTCAGGAGTCACGTCCCCACGGCAGCAGGGCAGGGCCGCGCGCACCCTCAACCTCCGGGTGCCCAGGTCTGACCGCACTGCCATGCAAAGGGGACATCATTTACTTTGGCTGACGTGGGTTCCGATGGGGAGGCTCCTACTGGGCCGCCGCCCCCGCGGCCGTCTCCACTGACCCGCTCACCCCCGAGGGCCAGGCCCAGCCCCCGCCCGCAGCAGCAGGAGGCGGTGCAGCGGCCTGTCGGGTCTCGGCCTGCACCCCAGAACAGCCGGGCTTAGGGAAGAGCGGAGGGGCCTGCTGGAGGCTCGGGGCCCCCACCTCGTCAGGACGGGTGCTGCCTGGAGAATTCGGCGGGAGCCCGCTGCTCACTACGGAAACTGAAACAGAAGGCAGGGAATGACATCTGTCCCTCCTTCCCCAGACAATGAGTGTGACCTAAGTGTGGAGGACTTCTCCCCAGGAGTCTGGGTCTTGTGAAAGTCACACCAGGCCACGGGCTCGGTAGCGACAGCTCTCTGTGGGGCTCCGAGGTCAAGTACGGCCAGCACCAGCTTCTGGTGACAGAAGGGACGTCCTGCTCAGACTTCGTCTCAGGCCCGACCTTGCCTGTGTCCTCTACTCCCTATCACTGCTGCCTCTTCCCCAGCTCAAATCTCCAGCTAATAAATACCCTTCCAGTACATTCCATTTCTACTTAAATTGCATAGAATCTGCTCCTTCTGCACAGAACCCAGACCGTGATGAATACGTCGGACACACACAGCTCTTATAAAACCATCAGCTTTTACACACGTCCTGCGGTCCACCCCTGGCCTCAGGACCAGGTCAGGCGCCTGGTCCTGGCCCTTGGTGTGTGGGCGGGGTGCTGGAGTTTGTCCTGGGGCCAGGCCAGCACCACCCGCACAAGACCAAGTCTGTGCGGGGTGTGAGACCCGATGCTCTCCGGGGAACAGACTGGAAGTAAAATGGGAGTCAGGAGGCAAAAAGCCCAGGGCCAGGGCAGAAGCGGGGGAAGGAAAAGAAACAGAACACAAAGGGCTCTCTGTGGGCACAGGGCCTGGGCACAGGGCCACCAGGGAGCAGTCTTGGGAGACTGGACAGCAGAGAGGAGGGGTCTGCGCTTGGATGCACTGGTGACTTCGGGGACACCCAGGAGAGAGCTGGGGGGCTGCAGCTGGATAGGGGCTTGGGCGCAGGAGGACGGCTCCGTAAAGACACAGCCCCGGAGGCCACAGCGGAGGCTGCGCGCGCTAAGACTGCCTGGGACGGGCCCAGGCACCCACGAGAGAGCAGGAGAGGCAGGGCCGGACACTAAGGCGGTGCCTTCCCTCCAGTGCCTGGGACACCCGCCTCCGGCAGGCCCCGCTGGGGGACGGACCCAGTCGTCCGACGTTAAAGTCGTGAGGCAGAGAGACTCTCCTGGGAGGCGGACACGGTTCAACCCGCCCAGCCCCTCCCCTCCGCGGGAAAGCAGGAGGCCGGAGGCCTCAGAAAGGGAGGGCCCGGCTTCCACCTGCTGTGGGGGGGGGGGGGTGGAACGCGGCTGCACGACCACCCGCGTGCATGCACACGCACACGCGCCGCCCGGCCCCGGGCAGCCCCCTTCCTGACCGCCCACCCCCAGTCCTCCCCCTCCCCGCCGGCCCCCAGGCTCTCACCTACGGGGGTTTCAGTCTGCTAGGCAGTTAGTTGCCTCCTGGCTGTTAAGGAGCGCCCGCCTGGAGCATCGCCCTCCACGGAAGCACGGCATCGCCCCTGGGGTGCCGCGGGGGGGCGCCGGTGAGCTCGGCAGCCCCGCCCCTGCACCTGGGTCCCGAAGCCCCAGCTGCGCGAGCCCAGGTGCGGCGACGTCTGCGGTGGGAGGAGCCGCTGGTCGCCCCACCCCCACGGCTGCCCCGCGTCTGGCGCCCAGGGCTGAGTGGGAGGACTAGGAAGGTGCTCCCAGCAGCGCTGCCCAGGCAAACCAGTCAAGCCAGTGTGGCAGAGCTGGCTGGGATGGGGCCCTGGGCGTGGGCGTGAGTCAGCGGCCCCAGGCTGGGGAAACGCTGGGGCGGAGGCCGTCTGGGGCCTCCTCCCAGCAGGAAGCCCAGGGGACGCCAGCACTCGGCTGGCCCTGTGCGCACCCGCCCCCCCACCCAAGGTCCGTCCCTGGGGATCCAAAGGCCTTTGCAGCTGGACCCCCAGCGAGAGGCATCAAGAGCCCGGGCGCCAGCCCAGAGCAGACTGGACTCTTGCTTGCTGCCCTCCTCAGCCCACAAAATGCCTATCAAGGCCCCGTGTCTCCCCTCAGCCCCCAGCAAGGGGCCACCACGCTGGGCGAAGAGCTCTGTCACCTCCACAGAGCACCCCAGGCAAGCGTGGGCCCCTGTGGGGCTCCTCTGGCCGGCTGGGGGGCTGGGGTGCTCAGTGTGGGCTGGAGCTCCCATGCCAGTCAGGCTGGGGCTCTGTGGCCAGTGAGGCAGGGACGCAGCTCCCGACTGCCCGTGGGCTGGAGTTTGAGTTTCCCTGGACCAGGGGTGGGGCGGGGGCGGGGGTGGGCGGTGGGGGGAGGAGGCACTGTTGCCCGCCCAGGGCAGGACCAGACTCGCTACACACAGCCTGCGATCTGCTTGCCGAGAGTCACCTCCTCCGGTTTCTCGGTCTCCCTCCCAGTCTGGCCAACGAGGCCTGTGGCCTGTAAAGTCCTGCACCCTGTGTCAGCACGTTAGTCAGCCCTCGCGCCTGGGTGAGCCACCGCGCCGCCGAGTCCCTATAAACTCCCCAGCGTGGCCCAGCCCAGCGAGCGGGGCCCCGGGAGCCCCACAGGCAGAGCCGGGGCCCGGAGCCGCAGCACCACAGACACCAGCCAAGGGGCAGGGCAGGAGCGGAGGGCCCACTGTGGCCTCCCGGGGATGGCCGCCGAGCCCGCCTGATCAAGGCGGGCCAGCAATGAGCCAGGGCCCTGGGCAGCAGACACCTGGTGAAAGGCGCCGGACCGGGGCAATGTCGGGGAGACGAGGTCGGGCTCGAAAAGCCCGAGCCAGGAGGGCGGGCAAGGCACAGCAGGCCTCCGGTCAGCGGGGCCCTGCGGCCCAGCCCCCGCCCCCTGCCGCCGGGGGCCCTCAAGACGAGGTGGGGGTGGGCCCTGCGGGGCACGTGACCGGCAACAAGCCAGCTGCCCAGGGACACCCCAGGGTGGCCACGCCAGAGCAGCCACAAGCAGCCGAGCGGCCAGTGCAGGCCACCGCTCCGGGGTCCGAGCTGGTGTTAGTCCCCGCTGCGGACATGGAAGGCTGTGGGGCGGGCGGCCTTGCCCCGGGCCTGGGCCCCGAGCTGCTGAGGCTTCACGAGGTCCAGCTGTGCCTGGCCCAGGAGCAGCTGCTGCTGGAGGACCGGCGGCGGCAGGTGCAGCTGCAGATGCAGCTGTGGCAGGAGGAGCAGCTGTGGAGGGAGCAGCTGCGGCAGGAGGAGCAGCTGTGGAGGGAGCAGCTGTGGCAGGAGGAGCAGCTGTGGCTGCAGCAGCTGCAGGAGGAGCAGGCCTGGGTGCGCGTGGAGGGGCTGGAGCTGGCCATGGCCCTGGAGCAACTCCGGAGCGAGGGCCTTGAGGTGCTGCAGACCCAAGGCCAGGTAAGGGGGCGGAGGGGGGCTCCGGACAATGTGGGGGGGTGTGCTGCATGGTGTGCTGCGGCCGGGATGGCTGCAGGCTAACCACGGGCCCATTTTCACGTTTGCAAGTTGAGGCTGGCGCCCAGCACACAGAGTGCTACAAAGAGCACACGACAACAAGCCGGCCCAGGGCTTGGTGGGTAGAGAGTGCACAGAAAGGAGCCTTGCTCAGGTAAATTGAGGCAGAGGTGTTCCTACAGGGGACCCGGGCGTCCCGGCCAGGGGACCCGGGCAGGCGGCTGCAGGAGCCGTCCGGGGCAGTGTCGGGGTACACAGGGTGACCTGCAGCAGGGACCCAGGTGGACAGTCAGCAGGAAGCAGAAGTGAGGACGTGCCCGCCCCCGTGCCCCCAACATGGCCTCCAGGCCTGCCGGCCCCGCCACCACTGTTTACTGCAGCGTGTGCTCCCGGGGCTTGAGATCACAGAAGCGGCGTGCGGCTCAGCCCGTCATCCTCATTCCAGAAAGGCTGCTTCCTCAGACGCCGCTGGGGCTATTTTGGGAAACTAGGGTCTAACCCCGGCCTGGCATGAAGAGCAGTCACCGCCAACCCAGCAGGTGGTGTGCTCTGCGGGCCCTCAGGGGTCCGGGGACTCGGACTGCCCCCCTCCAAGCAGAGGGGCCGCATCTGGGGAACAGGGTGGGTGCTCCGCTGGCCACCACGGACCCCTGGCGCAGGGCTGGAGGGACCTGAACTGCCTCCGGGAAGGTGCTGGCAGCTAAGTAGAGAACTCAGATGAATGCCACGACAGAGAATAAATGGGACTCAGAGAAGGGAAGGACGATGGGTGGGGGGAGGTGTGGGAGGAGGTGCCCTTCCTGACCCCTGGCAGGACTGAGCCAAGGGCAAGCTGTCACCATGCAGCCTGGAAGTGGCTCTGGAGAGGGTGCTCTGATAGAGCAGCAGCGGCAGGCAGGGGAAAGCAGGGGGTGGCCCAGGTGGAAGACAGGGTCAGAGTGGACCACACCCTTAGCCTGAGGAACCCCAACATGAATTGTAACCGAGCTGTGTCCAGTCCACATGGGCCTCATCCCATCTGCATGTGTGCTAAAGCCACGCTTCTCCACAACCTGCACCCCAATCCCAGCCCAGGGGTACACGTCCCGGTGTCAGGGTCTGGAATGGACCGCTGAGCTCTGACTCCTGTCTACTGTACCCGAGCCCCTCTCAGAGGTCCCCTGAAAGCCACTCTCAGAGGGCAGGGTCTTCTCAGACCATCCTCGGCGGCAGCATCTGAGCGGAGGTGCTCGGAGATCAGACTCACGTACCAGCAGTGGCTCTCGGGGCTCCCGGCTTGGCTCCAGGGAGGGGTGTCTGCCGCTTCCCCGAGGCAGCTTTGGGCCCCCACTTCTTGCTGCTCATTTTCCTGGGTGTCGAGGGGAAAGGTCAAGGAGTGTGTGCTTAGAGTGGCAGAGGCAGCAGGGACCAGCACCGCGCACAGCCTGGGCCTGTGTGGACAGACAGCATCACCCTCCCACACCCCCCTCCCCCAGGATCACAGCTTCCTCACTTCCGGGCTCCCCTGCCTGCCCCCCGGCCACTGGCTCGTGTGCGCCCAGCAGCTCAGGGGGAGTGCGCGGCAAGCACATCCGGCCACAGCTCACGCCCTTGTCCGTGCTCACCTGCCGTCCCCACCCCCGGCTCATCCACCCTCTGTTCCCAGGCCCTGACCGGGACCCCCAGCACTGGGTGTCTGGTGCCTGTGTCCCTGCTCCAAACCACCGGGCGGCCAGCTGCACAAGCTTCCTAACGCACAGCTCAGTCCTGCTCCGCTGGGGCCTCCATGACCCCCCCCCCCGCCCCCGCAGTGGGGCCTGGAAGCAGTAGCCTTCTCCCCCGTCCAGGCGGCTGGCCCCACAGTGTACTTCCCCGGCCGCCGCCCTTGGCCCAGGCTGCGTCCCCCGCGGACAGGTAACTCACTGCAGCGTCGCACGGGCCCTGGTGTGACCCCAGGCCTGTGTGCCTGCCACCCTGCCCTGGTGGTGTGTCAGAGTGTTTGGGGAAGGAATTAGTGAAGCTGACCCAGAAAACGGGGTCCTGTGGCAAGAGGGACACAGAGGGAGGCGAGCAGAGGCCTGCAGGAAGAAGAAGGGGAGGGGGGAGGGCAGGGGAAGGGAGAGCCTGGACAGTGGGCCTGGCTCGGACACACGGTCCACCCCATGGCAGGGCCTAAGTGGGTGAAGGGCCTTAAGTGGGGTCTGATGGGGGACTGGGGCAAAGGTCTGCAGTGTTTGGGGGGACTGAGGGCTGCCTTGGGGGTGTCAGTGTGTGCATCCGGGGCCCCCTGTCCACGTGGAGCAGTACTAGCAGGGTGCCTGGCGGGCAGAGGACCCCCAGGGTTCGTGTGGGGTCCTGCTCATGGGCACGGCTCTGTGGGAGAGGGTCCTGACGCTCGTGGAATTGGGGGGGGGGGACCAGTGGATGCAGGGTCCCCTGTCTGCTGCAGCGCCGGAGTGTGAGGGCTTCCAGAGTGCACAGGGGTCTCCTACGGGTGCGGGTAGACAGTGGTACCGCCTGGGTGATAGGCATGTGGAGGTGGTGGGCGTGCCTCCAGGGTCCCCTCAGTGTGCAGGGTCCCTGTGAGGCCCGATGCACGTGGGAGTCACCATCAGTGCGTAGGGAAGCGTGTGTGTGTGTGTGTGTGTATGTGTGTCCCCATGCGCCTGTCCCTGTGGGGGTGTGTTCAGAGTCCCCTGTGCTTGCAGGGTCCCCCCATGCCGGTCCCTCTGTCCCAGGGGCTCCATGGCCTTGAGGGGACTGGTTGTGTGGAGGGTCGATAGGTGTGGGGTGGGGGTGGCGGGAGGGGTCTATGAGCCCAACGGCCCTGGGTGCCAGTGGGGGCCCAGGTGCTTGTGAGTGTCGTGTGCGGCGCGGCGGCGGGGGGGTCCTCTGTGAGGGTATCAGGCTAGGGGTGCCCTAGTGTGGCGGGGGACCCGCTGCGCTTGCAGGGGCCCGGGCCCTGGCTCCCCGCCGCCCCCGCCACCTCACCTGCTTCACCTGCCTCCCCCAACTCCCGGGCCGGGCGAGCAGCCCCGCCCCGCACGTCGGGCCAACCCGTTTCCTAGCGACCGAGCCGGAACTTCCGAGTCACCTCCACTTCCGGGGCGAGGGTCAGGGGTCAGGCGTAGGGACCTGGAGCTTGGGCGAGCGGATGGGCATCGGGGGCGGCAGGCCGCGGGAGGCGGGGCGGCGGCGGCGGCCGGGGGCGCGGGGCCGGGGGCGCGGGGCCGGGGGGGCGCGCGCGGCGGCGGGCGGCGGAATGCGGGCGCGCCGCGGGTGGGGCCGCCCCGCCCCCAGGTGCTGCCCGGGCAGGCCGGCGGCGGGAGCGGCGGGCGGGGCGGGGGCGGGCGCGTGAATCAGGCCGCGCGGCGGGCGGGCCGCGACAGGGAGTGGCTGCCGGACCGACCGGACCGCGAGGCCGCTGGGCGGCGGTCGGCTCCTGCTGCCCTTGTCCCGAGACCCCGCGCACCTGGCCAGGTAGGGCCCCCTCCCCCGGCTCGAGCGGGGCGGGGCGCGCCGGAGGGGGAAGCGGCGGCCGGGCCCGCGGGGCGGGGTCGGCGCGCGCTGCGCCCCCCTCGGCGCGGCCTCACCTGGGCGGCGCTCCCACCCGCACCTGGGCCGGGGCCGCGCGGCCGAGAACGGGGCGGTGGGAGCGCGGGGCCCCGGGCCGGGTGGGCCCGGGCGGGGGTCGGAGGGCGCCGAGGCCGCGTGTGCCGGGGTGGACGCGAGCGCCCTCGCACGACGCCGGCCCAGCGCGGGCCGAGTGCGAAGGGGCCGGGGACTTGGGGCGCCGGGCGACACTGTCCGGGCGGTCCGCGCTCGCTCCTGCCCTCGCGGCCTAGCTGGAGCCTGGGGAGGGGGCCGGGCCCGGCCTGGAGCCTGGGGAGGGGGCCGGGCCCGGCCTGGAGCCTGGGGAGGGGGCCGGGCCCGGCCTGGAGCCTGGGGAGGGGGCCGGGCCCGGCCTGAACCCTTCCCTGAGGGCGCCTTGGGCTGGGGGATGGCCGGGATGGCCCAGGCGGTCTGGTTTCCTACGTGGAAGGGGGGGGGGGGGGAGCTTCTCGCGTCCGGAGACCCGAACTGGGACCCGTAGATGGGACGCCTGGCGTAGGCGGCCGCTAACTCCTTGGGTGCGCCGATCGCTTTCGGTCTTGTGGGGCAAGGAAACACCCCGAAAACAACTCACCAATTCAAGTCTGTTAGTCCCATCTGGCCGAACCCCCCCCCCCCCCCCGCCCTATATGCCTAACGCTTCCACGTGCTTTCTGCCGTGAGCCTCCCCGCACACCCCGCACTTAGCCCAGGGCCTCCTCTTGTGCACCAGCCTCGGCGCCTTCCCTCCTTCCGGTTACTTAGAAAACCAGTCTCCTGCCCAGGTGGGAAGGACCCACGCTCTGAAAGCCCCTAGTTCCAGAGCCTCCGGAGGCCTGAGGGCCCTGGAGCATTTGTCCGCCTTGTGTCAGAGGTCAGAGGTCAGCGGAGGAGGAGCAGACTCCAGCTGAGTCATTGGCTAGGGTGGGATGAGTGCCCCTCCCTCCCTTAGGGCAGGGGATCAGTAGGCAAATGTGTGAGGAGCCTTGCCAAAGGGGTTCCCCATAGGGGGCTGGGGAGTGGCCTCTGCACAGGCCACAGTTCAGCGAGGGGTGTGCAAAGCAAAAGGACTAAGGTCATTCCACTACGAGTGTTACCGTGTGAGGCCGTGCACGGCCGCTTGGTGTGGTCGCTCAGGGCTGGCACCCGGTCCTCATGGGCCGTGTCCGAGGATACGGTCCTTGCTCACCCTGGGACTCCGCCCACCCCGCGTTGCCGGCGGCCTGGACCGGTTGCCAGTTGCGTTGATTCCCCTTCCCAGTGAAGTTGCGAGGGGCGCGATCCCTTCTGTGTCCCCCAACTATGGGAGTGCTGTCCTGTCGTGAGCAGGAAAGTGCCCCCAAGCCCTGCCTGGCCCGACACCGACCCCATACAGCCAGAGGCCATGGTGTCTTCCCACCACCATCCTCTGTCATACTGTGTGACACACAGGTACCCGTGGTCAGGTACGGGGGGACCCCACTACAGACAGACCGGCCTGCGCCTTGTCCCCAGCGTGGCCCGATACGGGAACAGCGTGGGCGGCCTGTACGTACCCGCACACGGCGGATAGTGCCCCGATGAAGGGTGTCCGAAGAACTTTTTCTTAATCCACCAGGTACCATCCACTGGACATGGACTGAACGGCACAGAGAAGTGCCCTTCCCCTTCACGTCACATTCAGTTAGTCTGTCACTCCCCCCGGGGACGGTGGACAGGAGACACTCCGCAGGTGTCACACACGACTGTCTTGGTCCCAACATTCCCTGGCTGCCCAATGACCCCATCCGGTCAGCACCTCCCTCACCCTGCCTAGCAGGGGACACCGAGGGGGCTTGCGGCATCCAGGACCCCGTGAGCTGGGTGGAATCCGAATCCGGTCCAGTGCTGCCTGAGGGGGAGGGGGGGCAGTGTCTGGGGCTCCCCTTCCAGGGTATCCTGGTGGCTCCAGGGGTTGTGGGCCTGGCCCCCGCCTGGCCTTCCGGAGCCGACGGCAGCTCCCCCCAGCCTGGGTTCCCACACGGGCCCTTGGGAGACAGGGGGGCTGAAGCCGGCCAGGCTCGGCTTGGGTGTCAGTGTGAAGTCGGGGGGAGCGGCGAGATGCAGAGGCACGTTTGGGTGTGCCAGGACTGGCCTGATGGCCTTGACCTGAGACGCGGGGAGACCACCACAGCCCACGGGGCGGGGCGGCCCTGCGAGACCAAGCTTGTGAGGAGCAGCGGGGCTGCTGCCCACACCTGCCACGGGGCGTGGCTCAGAGAGGCTTTATCTAGAAGTAAATCGTGGCTAGAATCTGTGGAGGGGCGGGCCAGAGGGAGGCAAGTGGTCCTGGTGGACAGGGACAAAAAGCAGGGGTCCGAGCTGGGAGGGCTGTGAAGGTGCGAATGGGCTCTGGAGCCCAGAGTGACCCCATAGGATGAATGCAGGTGTGGCCGGGGCTTGAACTTAATGCCAAGTCCTGGGACAAAAGTAGTGACAAGCTTGTGTGCTGAGCTCATGTCGGGCCAGGTGTGGTAGCTGGTCCACCCTGACAGCTGCATTTTACAGCGGTGATAATGAGCCAGAGCACATCGAGCAGCCCTGGGTCCCCCCTCAGCCTCCCGCACTGCGGACAGACGGGGCCACCCGACCGGTCCGTACACATGATGCCAGGAGCCCACGAAGACACATTACTGCCAAAGTCAGAAGAAAAAGTGACTATAATAAAGAATCCAGTCTGGATCATGTTTCCTTTATAAGAACGATCGTAAAATCCTTATTTCCTTTTATGGAGAAAGGGCCTGCAGAGAGGTGCCTGGGTCACAGAGGCCACAAAATAACCCCAAGTGGGGTCTTTGTGCCACCGGAAACCGGGCTGAATGCACTCCTGAGGCCCTGGGCGCCCTGCTGACAGCCCCCCACCCCGGGCTGGGGGGCAGCGTCTGGAAGGCCTCCAGGCATGGCCTGCACCCCACAGCTCATGTCTACAGTGTGTGTCTCTCAGGTGGGTGGGGGGAGTGGACACAGAGCCCCTGCCCCAGTAACGTGTCTCCCCGCCCCTCCCAGGCCCCTGGCCCCGACATGGCCCGTCGCTCCCAGAGCTCCTCACAGGGGGACAACCCACTGGCACCTGGGTACCTGCCGCCTCACTACAAAGAGTACTACCGCCTGGCGGTGGATGCGCTGGCCGAGGGAGGCCCCGAGGCCTACAGCCGCTTCCTGGCTTCCGAGGGGGCACCCGCCTTCCTGTGCCCCGAGGAGCTAGAGCATGTGAGCCGCCACCTGCGTCCCCCACAGCACGTTGCTCCAGCGGCCCCCGAGGGTGGCCCCCCCAATGTGGACATGGATGGCTCCTCGGGCACCTACTGGCCCATGAACTCAGACCAGGCAGTGCCTGAACTCGACCTGGGCTGGCCCCTGACCTTCGGCTTCCAGGGCACGGAGGTCACCACACTGGTGCAGCCACCACCGCCCGACAGTCCCAGCATCAAGGATGAGGCTCGAAGGATGATCCGCTCTGCCCAGCAGGTGTGCTGTCACGGGCTGGGTGGACAGTGGGGGAAGGGCAGCCCAAGTTGGACCTTGAGTAGGAGCGTGCAGGTGGAAGAGAAATGTGAGCGTGCCCAGCTTCGGGGGCAAGGGTGAGGCCAGGGAGCTGGCCATGCCTCTCCAGCCTCCAAGCGCCTGCAAGGGCTCCCCGGCAGATGAGTTTTGGGGTTACCACAGGTTTGGTGACTGCAGGCTGCACACTGCACAGTCTTGCTTGCCAGCGGTCATGCCAGTGCCCAGGGGGTCAGGAGGGCTGGGCGCCTCTCCTGGTGGGATTTACTGTCGAGAAAATTTCCTCTAGTTTTAACTCTAACTCAGCTGAGGGCTTCTTACCCCACCAAGCAAACAGCAAAGGAAGCCTGTTAAATCTTGGAACCAGAGGCCACAGGTCTGCAGCCAAAGACCCCAACTGCCCCTGCACCCCCGGGCAGCACGCAGCCTGGGCTCCATCTGTGGGGCGGGGCAGCGGGGGCTCAAGTTGCCCTGCCCCCTCCCAGAGGGAGGCGGGCCCCCTGTGCCTGCCTGGAAGGCGGCCTTTTCCAGCCATCATGGGTCACCCGCCCGCCAGCACCCCTCACCCCCCATGATAGGCCCTTTTCCCCTGAGCCTGTTCCCCGCAGGGCCTCTCTCTCCGGGATGGCCTGTAGGACAGTCTGCAGTGTTTGTGGGAGACCCCGAGGCCCCGTGCGGGCCACGCAGGTGTGGCTAGAGGACGGTGGGGACAGCAGAGGGACGCGTCCTCTGTCACACGACCCCTGCAGGTGGTGGCCGTAGTGATGGACATGTTCACCGACGTGGACCTGCTTGGGGAAGTGCTGGAGGCAGCGGCCCGCCGCGTCCCGGTCTACATCCTCCTGGATGAGATGAACGCGCAGCACTTCCTAGACATGGCCGACAAGTGCCGTGTCAACCTGCACCACGTGGATGTGAGTGACTGACGGGGTGTGGAGGGAGGTGGGAGACGCCCGGGCACAGACCTGACGCCTCTCGCTCCCCAGTTCCTGCGTGTGCGCACCGTGGCCGGCCCCACCTACTACTGCCGCACTGGCAAGTCCTTCAGGGGCCACGTGAAGGAGAAGTTCCTGCTAGTGGACTGTGCCGTGGTGATGAGCGGCAGCTACAGGTGCGCGCGGGCCCCGCACCTCCGCGAGGGCCCCCCAGCCCCGGGCACGCCCCGCCCCGGGTTCCCAGGAGACTTCACGCTGGGGGGGGGGGGGGGCCGGGGGAGGGGCGGCCGCTGCTGCTCGGCCCCGCCCCCGCCCCTGACCCGCCCCGCCCCGCCCCGCCCGCAGCTTTATGTGGTCCTTCGAGAAGATCCACCGAAGCCTGGCGCACGTGTTCCAAGGCGAGCTGGTCTCCAGCTTCGATGAGGAGTTCCGCATCCTCTTCGCGCAGTCGGAGCCGCTGGTGCCCTCGGCGGGGGCGCTGGCCCGCATGGACGCCTACGCCCTGGCTCCGTACACGGGCGCCGGGCCCCTTCTGGGCGGCCCCCTGCCCGCGGCGCCGACCCCTTTCTCCTTCTCGAAGCGAGCGCACCTCCTGTTCCCACCGCCCCGGGAAGAGGGCCTGGGCTTCCCGTCCTTCCTCGACCCCGACCGCCACTTCTTGTCGGCCTTCCGCCGGGAGGAGCCGCACGCAGCGCTGCGGCCCCTGGCGCGGCGCCTGGACGCCGAGGCGGCCGCGGGCGCGGAGCCCGCGGGCGCGCGCGGCCTCTTCCAGGCGCGGCACCTGGAGGTGGACGCCTTCAAGCGGCACAGCTACGCGGCCGCCGACGGCGCGGGCGCCGTGGAGAACTTCGCGGCCGCGCGGCAGGTGTCCCGGCAGACGTTCCTCAGCCACGGGGACGACTTCCGCTTCCAGACCAGTCACTTCCACCGCGACCAGCTCTACCAGCAGCATTACCAGTGGGAGCCGCAGCTGGCGCCGCCACGCCCGCAGGGCCTGTTCGAGAAGCTGCGCGCCGGCCGCCCGGGCTTCGGCGACCACGACGACTCGGCGCTGGGCGCCGGGCCCCGCCTCCCCGAGCTCGGCCCGGACGGCCACCAGCGGCTGGACTACGTGCCGTCCGGCGAGTCGCGCGAGGTGCGCCGCGGCTCAGACCCCGCCTTGGGGCCCGGGCCCCGCGGCCTGGAACCCGGCGGCGCCCCGCGCCCCAACCCGGGCCAGCGCTTCCCGTGCCAGGCGGCGGCGAGGCTGGGCCCGGAGGCCGCGCCCGACGCGGAGCCGGGCTGCAGGGGCGGCCCCGAGGGGCGGGCCGGCCTGCGGCACTGGCGCTTGGCCTCCTACCTGAGCGGCCGCCTCGGCGAGGACGCGGCCGACGACGGCCTGCCGGCCCCCATGGAGGCCGAGGCCTACGAGGACGACGTCCTGGTGCCCGGGGCCCGAGCGGCCCTCGGGGACCTGCTCCCCTCGGCCTCCCGCGGGCCCACGTCCTTCCCGGCCAGGGGCGGGGGCGACGGCCCGGAGCGCGAGGGCCTGGACGAGGCGGGCCTGGCCCGGCAGGACGCCCGCTCGCGCCTGAACCCGCTGATCCAGCGCAGCTCGCGCCTGCGCTCCTCGCTCATCTTCAGCGCTTCGCAGGCCGAGGGCGCGGGAGGCGCCGCGGCGGCCACGGCTGAGAAGGTGCAGCTGCTGCACAAGGAGCAGGCGGTCAGCGAGACGCTGGGCCCCGGTGGCGAGGCCGTGCGCTCCGCCACCTCCGCCAAAGTGGCCGAGCTCCTGGAGAAATACAAGGGCCCGGCGGGCCCGGCGCGCGATGCCGGAGGCGCGGGGGCTCCGCTCACGGTCGCCAGCCACAGCAAGGCTGTCGTGTCCCAGGCGTGGCGGGAGGAAGTGGTGGCGCCGGGCGGCGCGGGAAGCGAGCGCCGCAGCCTCGAGAGCTGCCTCCTGGACCTTCGCGACTCCTTCGCGCAGCAGCTGCATCAGGAGGCCGAGAGGCAGCCCGGAGCGGCCACACTCACTGCCACCCAGCTGCTCGACACGCTGGGCCGGGGCAGCACCGACCGGCTGCCCTCTCGCTTCCTCTCTGCCCAGGGCCGTTCCTCCCCGCAAGGGAGGGACAGCCCGCCGCTGGAGGGGTCCGGGGCCCGCCAGGCACCCCACTCTGAGCCGAAAGGGAGCCCCACCTCTGCCTACCCTGAGCCGAAAGGGAGCCCTACCTCGGCCTATCCCGAGCGCAGGGGCAGCCCCGTGCCCCCTATGCCAGAGCGCAGGGGCAGCCCCGTGCCCCCCGTGCCCGAGCGCAAGGGCAGCCCCGTGCCCCCCGTGCCCGAGCGCAGGGGCAGCCTCACCCTTACCTTCTCTGGGGAGTCTCCCAAGACTGGAACCCCAGAGGAGCCGGCTGGCGGCCCCATGGAAGTCCTGCGCAAGGGCTCCCTGCGCCTCCGCCAGCTGCTGAGCCCCAAGGGTGAGCGGCGCACGGAGGATGAGGGCGGCTTCCCAGCGCCGCAGGAGAACGGGCAGCCAGAGAGCCCCCGGCGGCCGTCGCTGGGCAGGGGTGATAGCACTGAGGCTGCCACTGGCGACGAGCGGAGCCCGCGGGGGCGCATGACCTCCGCCACGGCCAATGCCTTGTACAGCAGCAACCTGCGGGATGACACGAAAGCCATTCTGGAGCAGATCAGCGCCCACGGTCAGAAACACCGCGGGGTCCCCGCCGCGGCCCCGGGCCTGGCTCACAGCAGTCCTGAACTAGGCCGCTCGCCAGCTGCTGGCGGCCTGGCCCCAGACATGTCCGACAAGGACAAATGTTCTGCCATCTTCCGCTCGGACAGCCTGGGGACGCAGGGCAGGCTGAGCCGCACGATGCCTGCCAGCGCCGAGGAACGCGACCGGCTGCTGCGCCGCATGGAGAGTATGCGCAAGGAGAAACGTGTCTATAGCAGATTCGAGGTCTTCTGCAAAAAGGAAGAGGCCGGCGGCCCGGGGGCAGGAGAGGCCCCTGCAGAGGAGGACACCAGGGACAGCAAGGTGGGCAAGTTCATGCCCAAGATCCTGGGCACCTTCAAAAGCAAGAAGTGAGGCTGCTGGCCTGACAGCCCAGGTCCAGGTGCCTGCATCACTGCCGCCCCGGGGGCAGAGCACCTGCTCTCACTGGGGGGTGGGGGGTGAGCACAGCCTGAGCCTGGCTCCGCCCCCCTGGAGCTCACCCAGCCGCACCTGCCTTTCGCCCCTGGCCTTTCCCCTCTGGGGCTCCAGCCCTGCCGCCCTGCTCCTTACTCCCCCAGGCGCATCCCCCCCCCACCCGGAGCCCCCCCCTTCTGATTCCTCTGCTCAACCTGGTTGAGCTTCAGGTCCCCCGTGGACCTTCCTTTGCCTCAGGGCTCCGTCTCTTTGTGCCTTAGGCCCCCACATGTCCGGGGGGGCCATCTCTTTCTGCCTCCGCCCCCATCCTTGTGGGGGGCCATCTATGCACCTCGGCCCCTCATTCTTTGGGGGCCTCACGTCTCAGGGCTTCTCAGGTCCCCTCTGCTCACTGCCTCTTGGCTCTACTGCCGCTGCTTCGCTGCTGCTTCGCTGCTCCCCCTACCTGTGTCCTGGCGGCCCCAGCCCCTCTCGCCCGCACCCCCCCCCAAGGCCCGCTGTGTCTCCCTCCACAACAGGTGGCTCAGGTGCCACTTCCTGCCCTGTTTGCTTGCCCCCCTGCCTCCCTGTCTGCCTCCTGGCACCTTAGCAGCCTCCTCCCTGAGGGGGGGCAGTGCTGGCTGGGGGTGACTGGTGATGGGGGACGGAGCCAGCCCCAAAGGCTGCTCCTCAGGAAGCGCTGTCCTGTTGGCCACTGGCAGATGGGGGCACGGAGGACCCGAGAGGCCGCCCTGCCAGGAGAACTGAGGCAGGCCCGGCCACGCTGCCGGCCACGCTCCAGCCAGCACCCGGTGAGGGGTAAGGGCTCCGGGTTTTGCAACCCTGTCTAGAGCCGCGAAGGGGCCCAGGAATCCCCGGAAAAGGGCTGGATGCGGAGCGCCTGGACTCCGACAGGGGAGGGGAGGGGAGGGGAGGGGGTGGTGCGGCGTGCTGGCTCAGGTCCCCGCGGCCCTCGAGTCCACTCTGTTCTGGGTCTTTTCCTCTTTGTCACCAACCTGCAAAATCGAAGTTTCCCTGCCGACCTTTCCTGTATCATTCTCACCTGTGGAGAGTGACTTTCATTTGGAATGACCCATTTGGGCACCAAATGCTGAGGCACTTCCCCACCATAAGTGCTGGCGTCGGCACTCACCGGGGAAGGATGTGACACACGGGGTCGCTGAGCAAAGGCAGCACTGTGACTCCGCATGGCGGGAGGGGAGGCTGGGGAGGCTGGAGGACACTCGCCCCTCAGCAGCTCAGTCTGGTTACCAAAGCCACGAGCCAGGTAAGGGGACAGCAGGCGGAAGGTCACCAAGGAGCCAGATGCGCTGGGGTGTCCTTGGCCTGGCCACGCTTGCTGACGAGTTTGCTTGCGAGTGGCCTGGCGTGGCCCGTGGCCGAGGGGGAGCCCCGTGTGCGACCTCCACGCCGCGTAACATCTCAAATGTGACTCTGCACGTTCAGGTGTTGACAATAAAACAAGATCTTCCCACACATTCCTAAATATATAGTCGCCCCGTTGTACGTTGCAAACTTTGGTCTTGTGAATGTCTCAGCCGTCCCTCTGGACACCAGCGCCCAGCCCTGTGGGGACCGCTGAAGACCCCCGCCCGCCCCGCCTGTACCGCGGCGCCTCCTGCCACGTCCCTAACCTCCAAGACTCCTTCCACCTCAGCCCCTTCCCAGACGGGCTCCGCTTCGTGGCCAAACTGCCTTAGCCCACTACTCCCGCCCCTTACTTCCACCAGCCCTCCGTGCAGGCGCCCCCCACGGGTGCGCCCCTGGGGGATCCCCGTTACTGCGCACACTTCCCAGCCTTCCCTGCGCTGGGTGCCCAGGTATCTGGACCTCTCAGCAGCCCCCAGGCCTGTGTTCGCAGGGCTGGGCTTCCTGGGGCCTCGCCTGCTCCTTTCTGGGCTGTGATGCCAATTCCCAGGGCCCCATCCGTCCCCCTGTCCATCAGCGGGGGGCTATGCCTCAGGCTCCAGGACGTCGACACACGGCCCGCTCCATGGCTGGCTCACCTCCAATCCTGCACCGGGGCGTTGATCCTTGCCGCCTTTCTCGGCCTCCTCCCAAATCCTGTTCTGCCTTCTCAGTCTCTCTTGCAGCCGACTGCCGGGCCGCACCCTCCGGCCAGCTCCGCTTGCCCTTCGCGCCGCGCCTCCGCAGCTTTTCCCGAGCGAGCGCAGAGCTCCTGCTCCCAGCGGCCCCGCCCCCAACGCAGCACAGGCCACGCCCCTTAGACCGGGCGCTCCAACCTGCCAGTGGGAAAATGGTCTCCCCTGCTGTGTTCCAGCCCCTGCCCAGGGTCAGGGTCACGGCACCCTGCAGCCAGGAGACAGGTGCCCATTGGGCCCCTTGGATCGCTCTGGCTCCCACACCCCTGAGCCCACCCTCCACCAGGACAAACCAGCTGCCGGTCACTGTTGGTGACAGAGGAGCACGGGGTCACCAACAATGGCCAGTCAGGAGCTGTACCCTGGGGCGCTGTCCCAATATCTCTTCCACTTTGGCTCCGGGTCACAAATGCAGTCGTGTGATGGCTTGCACCCAGGTAGCAGGTGCACAAGTCCCTGCCTCTCCAGGACCCCCCTGGGGACAGCCTGGTCCCTCTGATGGGCACCAGGTAGGCCCCAGAGCATTTGTGGACAGAGGACAGGAAGCTGCCCCCAAGGACACCCCCCCCAGGCCAGCCTTTGGTTATGTGAGCCTAGAGCGAAAGCACTGGGCAGACAGGGGCCACACAGCTTCTCATGGGCTCTGCGCCAGACATCGGGGGCCTCGGGAGGGGGTGGACACCAGGAAAAGGGCGCGTGGCCTGGGAGAGGGTCTCATACTGAGGACAAAGGATGGACAGGTAGGCTGTGGCCAAACAAGACTTTATTGGAGGAAGTGGCTGGGGGGGGGGGGGGGGACCTCTCCCCCCCCCCCAGAAACGCTTGGACAACGTCCCTCGAACTCAAGGACGCGTGCAGGCACAAGCGGGAGCGGGTAAGGGAGTGGGGAGCACGGGGCGCTGGGGGCCGAATCCAGAGCTGGGCGAGGGGCGCGGGCTGAGTACAGGAGCCGGACTGGAGGCTGGCGGGCGGCTCACGCGCGGGGCCCGGGGAGCAGGGGCAGGCGGCCGAGCGCCGAATGGCAGATGGTTCCGTAAGCTTGAGAATAGCCCCCCAGCGCGGCCCTCGCGGCGCCCTGGGCCCCCTGCCAGGCCGGGGCGCCGAACATCCGCCGGCCGGGCCGGGGCTCGGGCCGGGCATCCGCCGGAAGCCCGCGAGGGACCTGCACACAGTCGGGGCGCCGCGTGAGGGGGCGGGGCCGGGGGGAGGGGAGGCCGAGGGCCAGGGTGCGGGGGGGGGGGGGGGGGGGGGGGGGGGGGGGGGCGCTCACCTGTCGCGTTCCGGCCGCCGTCGCCCCACGGCCCGGGTTCCAGTCGCTCCGGATCAGGGCCTGGACGGCCCCCAGGGCGGCAGCCTGCGAGGCCAGGGAGGGCGCCGCCCCCTTCACGCTGGACTTCACCTGCGAGGGGGCGCGTCACAGGGTCACTGCTGTACCGGGTGCGGGGGGCCTTGGAAAGTACAGTGAGAGGGGCCCTCCCCGGGCCAACCTACCCCCGAGCGTGCTGAGGGGGCATCTGCCGTCTCCCCAGGGGGCTTTTCCGCCCTCCAGAGACCCCCTGGGGGCCGGGGCTGGAGCAGGGGCGCCGCGCTCGGCCGGGGAAGGTTCTTGGCTCCGCAGGGAACTTCTGTGGGGTCTGAAGACCAGCCGCCCGCGTTAGTCCGCCGTTGCGGACCCTTGGTGGCCCCACACAGAAGGGTCAGGGGCCACTCCGTGCGGGATCACACACCGTGGGCGGACTGGTGACCCAGGTGGCTCGGAGGTCTGCGGCCGGACTTCTGCGACGAAGAGCCGGGGGGCAGCTGGGGGGCGGCTCTGGGGGACGGCAGGTGCGCCTGGGGCGGGGGTCCACTGGGCTCCGCCTCCGGGCACGTGCCCCCCAGGCCCTTCTGTCTCGGGGCGTGGCTGTTGCCCCTGCGCTCCAGGATCATCTGCGGGGGGCGAGGGGCGCTCAGAGTTGCATGGCGTGGGTGTAGCGGGTTCCGGGGTCGCTGAGGCAAGGGGAGGCCTCGAGGGTGAGCGTGGGCGTGGGCAGGTCGCGCGCCGGAGCACCTGATAGACGCGGCTGCGGTACTCAGGGGCTGAGAGCTGAGCTCCTTCCAGCACCGGGATCCGCACGGCCGAATCCATTGTCCACTCGCGGGCGGGGCAGTGGAACCTGCGAGAAGCCAGCCTCGGGCTGCGGTCAGGAGGGCCTCTCCGGCCGAGCCCAGGTCCGGGACCCGACACCCAAGCCCGGCAAAGGAGGAGCCGGCACCCGCCCCGTCCCGCCCCTACCTCTGCACGTAGGGGTGCTGCAGCGCCTGCGCGGCGCTAAGCCGCTTGTCCGGGGCAAATACCAGGAGTCCCTTGAGGAGATCCAGGGCCTCCGGGGGGGTGTCTGGCGGCAGGAGGGCGTCCAGCGTCTGCCGTGGCCTGTGGTGCCCGAGTATCGCCCCGTCTCCAGGTCGGCCCCTCCCCCACCCCGGCCCAGCGCCACTTTGCCTCCGTGCACCCCCCGTCAGGCGACAGCCTCAGGCGGCAGGGCACCTCGGTGAGGCCTCCCTGCCTCGACCTCTGGTCCCTGCTCTCTGGCCCCGTGCAGTTCCCGTGCCCCCGCCCCGCGCCCCATGACTCAGGCCACGCTGGGTGGCGCTGTCCGAAGACCAGGGCCCGGGGCTGGGCGGGCAGAGTGGCCAGCAGGGAACAGGAAGCGGGTGAGAGCCAGCCCCTCAGCAGCCCCACTCACCGGGGCCCCGGGCGGGGCAGGACTGAGGCGCTGTAGCTTGAGCCAAGAGCCAGGAGGTCTGCGGGGTGGGTGGACAGAAGGTGGTGTGTGGCTGGGGGGGCTGGGCGGGGGGGGGGCAGCTGGGGTGGGGGGTGCTGGGCCAGNAGCCAAGAGCCAGGAGGTCTGCGGGGTGGGTGGACTGGGCGGGGGGGGCAGCTGGGGTGGGGGGGGACTGGGCGGGGGGGGCAGCTGGGGTGGGGGGTGCTGGGCCAGCGGGGCGACTCAGGGAGGTCTGGGGCCGGTTGCTCTTCCGGCCCCACGGAGTGACCTCTCTGCAGGGCTGCAGCTGTCTGCCAGGACTCAAACCTTCATGCCTCACTTATGCATATATGCCCCGGCATGTGTGCCTGCCCTTGCACACTTACACCCCCACGTATGCACTCCACATCCGGGCACTCCCACCTCCACGGAAGAGCCCCTTCCCCACCGGTCCTTCCCCTCTCTCGCTCTACTCCCTCCCCCCAGGGATGAGGAAGGACCCCCCCAGCTACTTACCCCCACTGCTGCCTGCTTTCCTCTTCCCCCAGCCTCCCCTGCCCAGCTCCCACCCCTCAGCCACCCAGCTGGACCCTTCATGGGCACCGCTTGGCCCTCAGGACCCATGGCGAGGCCCTGCCCGCCTTGCAGCCTGTCCAGTTGCTCTCCCAAAGCCCCCAGCAGCTCTTCCCTACACACCTGCCTTTTCGGGTCTTCCTGAAGCTCTGGGCCCTCCCCAGCCCTCTTCCCCAGACTCCTCCCAACCAGTCCTGGCCCCCCAGGGGCCTCAGCGTCGCCGGTGCTCTGACCCTCAGCGTCGCCGGTGCCCGGCAGACCCCTGTACACTTACTCACCCTCCTTGGATGGAGGCGGGATGGTGTCCAGGATCAGCTCCAGCTGGTGCAGTGTGGATGTGCCCGGGAACAGGGGCCTCCCCCGAAGCATTTCCCCCAGGACGCAGCCCAGACTCCACATGTCCACCCCAGGGGTGTACCTGGGGCAGGAAGGGGTGGAGACATGGGGGGGGCCCCGGAGGCAGATGTGGAGGGAGGAGAGACCCTCAAAGGGCCGGGGCCTGGGTGCTGGGAGGGGGCCGGTGAGGGCACAGGGGAGGGCACAGGAAGGCTTGGGGGCCTTGGCTGGGCCAGAGGACATAGGGGTGCTTCAGGGGGAGGGGGAAGCTGTTACCAGCTCGAGGACAGCAGCACCTCTGGAGCCCGGTACCAGCGTGTGGCCACGTAATCTGTCAGGGCCGGGCCCTCAGGCCCCTCAGGGATGCCGCCGAGGGAGCGGGCGAGACCAAAGTCACAGAGCTTCACCAAGCAGCTGGCATCCAGGAGAATGTTGGACGGCTGCAGGAGGGGAGGCAGGCTGAGAGCCAGCGGTGGGTGCACACGGGGCTGGGCCCACGACTGGAGTGTGGGCGGTGCCTTCAGGGTGGGGGGCGCTGTCCCGGAGAGGAGGCGGGCTGAGGGTTAATGAGCTGTGGGTGCACATAGTGGGGGGGGGGGGGGCACGGCTGGATCGTGGGTGGCACCTTCTGGTCCCGATGGATGACGCCTCCCGAGTGGATGAACTTGGTGGCCCGCAGGAGCTGGTAGATGATGAAGCGCTTGTGGATGTCCTTCAGCAGCCTGCCCTTACGGATGACGGCGTTCAGGTCAGTGTCTGGGGGAGCACACAGGTCATTCTGGGGGAGCCTAGGGGTGAGGGGAGCCGGGGCAGGACTCGGGGGTCAGCCTGGGGCCCCGGGAGAGTGGATGAGTCTGCCTCACCTTGGACCTTGTAGGGGTGCCCAGCCCTCCCACGGCCGCGGCCCCCAGGCCACACGGGCCACCCTCAGAGGCCTGTTTCTAACCTGTCCTGGGCACACACGCTTCCCAGTGACTCCAGCAACTTCCTCAGGCCTGCTCTGCCTTTGTCCGCACAGCAATAAAAGTTTGTGGGGCTATTCTTAATACTTTAATATTTTATTTCATGTTGCTTTGTCTTATAACACGGGTAGAAAAAGGGAAAAAAGGCTGCAAACAGTGGAAAAAGCAGGAGCCTCATGGAGGTGGGCTCCCAGGTGGTCACTGCCAGGCCTGGGCGCTCACCCGCCCCAGCCATTTGTCCCTGCACACCAAGAAACTGCTCTAGGTGACAGCTGACCACCGTGGTGACCCGGGTAGCAGAGGGACATGTAAATGGATCCAGGCCATCCGAGGGTCCTGGACCCGGACTGAGGTGAGGCTGGGGAGTGAGCGAGGCCTCACTTACCCATAGACTCAAACACCAGGTAAATGTCCCTGTCGTTCTCCGCCCGGATCACCTCCAGGAGGCGGATGATGTTGGGATGGTCCCCAAGTTCCTGAGGAGACAGCCAGGGCTTTGTGCTTTGTGGGGTGAGGATCTGGGCTCCCTCACCTTGGGGGAAACTGAACCTGGCGGGGCTGGGGGGCAGATGGCCCAGGCCGCGCACCTGGAGCAACATGATCTCCCGGAAGGTTCTCTGGAATGAGACAGAAATAGGAGCGTGAGTGTGGAGTTTGAGGGAAGCCCACTTCCTTCCCACCCCCCCCCCCCCCGGAAAGACAGAAAAAGGAAAAAGAGCACCGTGAGCAGGAGAGGAGCAGAGGAAGAGGGAGGGAGAAGAGAGTGTTAAGCAGCCTCCAAGGCCAGTGCAGAGCCCTCCGCAGGCCTGTCTCACGGAGCCACGAGACCATGACCAGAGCCAGCATCAAGAGTCCGACGCTTAACCAACTGAGCCCCCAGGACCCCCGGAAGCCCACTACTTGAAAGGATCCATAGGAACTGACAGACGTCCCCCACACCCACTGGACCACAGGGTCACAGAGTGGGTCATGCTCTGAGCGATGACAGAGACCTGAGCTTCCAGGCAGCACGCGAGCAAGGCTCACCCCCACTCCCCTGCCCTTGTCCTTCTCACACCTCCTCTCCACGCATTTACCTGGGCGTCCGTCTTATCCCTAAAGGCATCGAAGATTTTCTTGATGGCCACGACCTCGCCGGTCCTCCTATCCACTGCCTTCCACACAATGCCGTAGGCCTGTGAGGACGGTGGTCAGCTTGCTGGGCACAGGGCCGGCCTCCTGTCCAGCCCTCCCCTGCCCAGCAGGCTGCCCTGAGGCTCCTGCCTGCCCTGGCTCCTGGGAGGGAGGGTGTGGTGAGGGGCTGTGGCTCTGGGCAAGGTCCCCGCAGCCATGGGCCGCTCCGCCTGCTGCAGGACCCCCACACCCGGGTTTTCCAGAAGAGGGTGATGAGGAGCATGGCCCCAGGCCGCAGAATCAGGGTGGAGCAGAAACCTGTTTTGGGCACCTCCCCCCTTTCACACCCTGCATCCAGCCTGTCAGCAAATCCTGTTGGCACCACCTTCACAATTCATCAGAATCTGACTTCTCACTACCATCTCTGCTGCCCCTCCTGGTCTGGGTCTCTTGTCTCTCCCCTGTCTCCTGTTTGGATCACTACACTAACCTTCTAGCTGGTCTCCCTAGCCCACACCACTGCCCGTCCTCTACACAGCAGGCAGGGTGAGTCTTGTAAAGCGGCCCTGATGTCGGCTGCCACTCCCTGGGTCAATGCCCAGAAGTCTTTGCAGCTTCCCAAAGCCACTCTTAACCAGTTCACATCAACTCTGCTGTTTTTCCACAGCCAGCAGGTCCTTGCCTCAGGGCCTTTGCACCTGCTGTCTGTGCTGATTCTCTCCTCTCCTATTACCACCCACCTAGTCACACATCTTCACAAACATTCTTGTACACTATCCCACATGCTCTCACACACAAATGCACAATCGCTCACATGTGGTTCACTCTATGCCCATTTACCTGCTCAGGCCCTTCCTGGGCTAGGCTTGGGATCCATCGCCCTTAGTGATTGGAATGGGTGGGCCTGGCCTCCTTAGTATCCCATGGGCCCCAGGAGAGGCAGCTGGGAGCAGGGGACGTGGGAGGGGACGGGGGAAAGGGTTTGTCCAGGATCCCTCTGGCCTTAGACCACTATGGACCCAGAGCCAGGCCACAGGTTCGCTTGCAGTGGGCGCTGTTAGAGCCCCCTTACAGGAAACTGAAGCCCGAGGGGCTCGGTGGCTTGCCCAAGGCCACCCTCCAGTCCCTGGAGGAAACAGGACGTGAGCCAGGGATCCGTTGCCATGTGGGAGCGAACAGACCTCCGACAGGACCTGACCCCCCCCCGCAGGTGGCCGGGCTCACCCCCTTCCCCAGCCGCCGCTTGAGCAAGTATCGCTGGGCTACGTGATGGTCCACGTCTGCAGCGCACATGCCGGCGAGTGGGCGCCCGGGGGCCTCCAGACGCCCGCAGCACCGGAACTGTTGAATCCGGTTGCCTGGGAGACGGCGTGGGGTAACCGCTTCCATGCGCCTGCGCGGCGCCGGGGTGGGCGGGGTCTGCGGCCGAAGCCCCGCCCGGTCCGGGTCCGCCTAGAGCCGCTCCTGGCCGCCCCGCCCCTCTCCCCCAGAGCCCCGCCCCCCCAGCGCCCCTCCCCCATCCAGGCCCCGCCGCGCCCTTTGCGCCCCCCCCACCCGGGGGGACCCGGGGCCCCTGAGGCCGGACTGCGGAGCCGGGCGTGCTGTCTGCGTCCCGCTGCCTTATTGCAGTTCCTGGAGCGTAAGTTCACCGTGACCCCGACACTCTTCACTGGGTGTTTGCCCGACAGACACGAAAACCTGGGGCCACCCAGAGAATCAAACGCGAATGTTCTTAGCACCCCCAAACTGGAGGCGCCCCAAATGTCGCTTCCACCATGTGAGACAGGAGTGGATGAACCGCGGCGCGCGCTCAGCACCAACCGGAGAGAATCCTCTGGGAACTCACGCGACGGACCCTCAGGCCGACTGAGCGCGTCACTGCCCAGGATACTGTGATTTCCAGGTACACCGAACGGCGGGAAACGCTCCCCGCCGCCGGAGAGGCCGGGGCGCGGCGCGGGGGGCCGGGTGCAGCCCCCCCCCCCGAGCTTTCCAAGAACAGAAGCGCTCGTGCGCGCCGAGGCTCTCAGGGGTGCCCACTTAGGACGGCGGTGTTCCAGTCGTGTACCTGCGGTGTATGCAGTCCCGGCGTAACGCGACGAAGTTGGAGGACGCGGAGACTAAACAGGAAAGGAACCAAGAAGGGGCGAGACAGACTGCTTCTCAGAAACGTTGCGCTAAGTGAGAGAGGTCAGATAGGAAACGTCACTTATACGATTCCACATATATGAAATACTCAGAAAGGGAAGTCTATAGCGACGGAGAGCAGATGGGTGGTTTGCAGGGGGTTGAGAAGAGGAACGGGTAGTGACTACTTAGCGGACACGGATACAGGTTCCCTGTAGGATGATGAAAACATTTTGTAACTAACAGAGGTAGTGGTTACTTAATACTGTGAATGTACCAAATGTCACTGAGATGTATACTTTAATGTAGTTAATTTTATGTGAATTTCACCTCAATAAAAAAGTTACAAGGCTTAAGAGGAAGGAGGAACACATGTCCCAGAGCCAGGAGAAAAATCAGTTGGTAGAACTAGACCCATAAATGAGAGAGATGGTGGAATTGGCAATGACTTAAGTAATAGCTGTTATAAATATGCCCAGGGATTTAAAGAAAAACATGAATATGATGAGAGGAGAAGTTATAAAAAAAGAACCCAATGGAATTTCTAGAGTTGAAAAATAGAATCTCAGGGGCGCCTGGGTGGCTTAGTCGGTTAAGCGTCCGACTTTCGCTCAGGGCATGATCTCGCGGTTCGTGGGTTCGAGCCGGGCATGGGGCTCTGTGCTGACCGCCAGCTCGGAGCCTGGAGCCTGTTTCAGTCTGTGACTCCCTCTCTCTCTGACCCTCCCCTGCTCGCGCTGTCTTTCTCTCTCTCTCCTAGAAATAAATAAAAATAAAAAATAAAAAAAAGAAAAATAGAATCTCTGAAGTGAAAACTCATTGAATGAACTTAACAGCAGAAGAGATATCGATGAACTTGAAGACACAGCAATAGGAACTATCCAAATTGAAACAGAGGAAAAAAGACAAAACTAAACTAAAGAACCTGTGGGATTGTATCAACAAAAGACAGTGATGCAGAAAGTGTCACTGAGAGAGTAATGGGTGACATTTTTGCAAATTTGAAGGAAGAATAATACACTCACAAATCTAGGAATTTCAAGGAGACCTAAGGAGGAAAAAGACAAAGGAAGCCATAATAAGCACATGATAAATAAATTGCTGAAAAAGTGATAAAAGTACTACAATTATCCAAAAAAATTACAAAGGAACAAAAATAACTGTGACTGCAGAGTTCTTGTTAGAAAATAATTTCAAGCCAGGAGACAAAGCAAGGACATCAGTAGTGCACTAAAAACAAAAACAAAAATAAACAAGACATGGGGCGCCTGGGTGGCTTAGTCGGTTGAGCGTCCGACTTTCGCTTAGGTCATGATCTCGTGGTTCGTGGGTTCGAGCCCCGCTTCGGGCTCTGTGCTGACTGCCAGCTCAGAGCCTGGAGCCTATTTCAGAGTCTGTGTCTCCCTCTCTCTCTGACCCTCCCCTACTCACGCTGTCTCTCTCTCTCTCCTGGAAATAAATAAAAATATTAATAAATAAATAAATAAATAAATAAACAAAACAAAACACTGCCAATCTAGAGTTATAGACGCAAAGAAAATATCCTTTAAAGTGAAGACAGTAGTTTTTCAGACAAACGCGCTGAGAGTATATAACACCTGCAGACTGACACTACAAAAAATATTAATGAAAGTTTTCTTGGATGAAGAAAAGTGATTCTACATGAAAACCCAGATTGATCTAAGAAAATAAAGAGCCCTGGGAATGGGATATAGGTGGGTAAATATAACAAAAAAAACATTTTTCTCATCTACTAAAGTTCACTGAAAGATAGTTGACTGCCGTAGTTAGACCTGGTAACTCAATAATATAATAAAAAGTCTATGGGGCTCCTGGGTGGCTTAGTCGGTTAAGCGTCCGACTTTCGCTTAGGTCATGATCTTGTGGTTCGTGGGTTCGAGCCCCGCGTCGGGCTCTGTGCTGACAGCTCAGAGCCTGGAGCCTGTTTCAGTCTGAGAGACTCCCTCTCTCTCTGACCCTCCCCTGCTCACGCTGTCTCTCTCTCTCTCTCTCTCCTAGAAATAAATAAAAAACATTAAAAAAAAAGTCTATGACACATCAAATTACAACCATAATGAGATACCATCTCATGCCCATTAAGATGGCAAAGAACAAAGACAAAAATGGCAAACCAAAGCAAACCAAAAACCGAAATGGGAAAACTGGAGGTGAAGACGTGGAAACACCCGGGACCCTTGGACATTGTTGGAACATTAAAATAAAAAGACACATACTGTGTGATTCTTCTTGGATGGATATCGTAGTAGTCAAACTCCTAGAAACAGACAGTGGAATCGTGGTTAACAGGGATGTGGGGAAGGGAGAATGAGGAGTCATTGTTCACTGTGTATCAAGTTTCAGACTGCAAGATCAAAACATTCGGGAGATCAGTGAACACGTGAATATACTTAACAGTATAAATACATTTAACACTACTGAACTACACACTCAAAATAGTTAAGGTAGTAACTTTTATGCTGTGTGGTTTTTTTTCTTTACCACAATTAAAAATAATTTTTAAACAGATACTTAACCAAGGTGCCTGGGTGGCTCAGTTATTTAAGTATCTGACTCTTGATTTCGGCTCAGGTCATGATCTCAGTTTGTGGGAGGGAGCCTGTGTCAGGCTCTGCACTAGCAGAGCAGGGCGTGCTTGGGATTCTCTCTCCCTCTCTCTCTACCCTCCCCAGCTCTTGCGTGTGCACTCTCAAAATAAATAAATAAAACATTAAAAAGATAGTTCATTGTTTAAAGTAGATAAAATAATAACATATTGTGAGGTCTGTAACCTGTAAAAGTAAAATTTATTACATCCGTATGCAAAAGAGGACACTGGAACTATAAGGTTCTTTTTAAAAAATTTTTTTAAATGTTTTATTTCTGAGAGAGAGCGTGAGCAGGGGAGGGTCAGTGAGAGAGGGAGACACAGACTCCGAAACAGGCTCCAGGCTCTGTCAGCACAGAGCCCGACGCAGGGCTCGAACCCACAAACTGTGAGATCATGACCTGAGTCGAAGTCAGACGCTTAACCGACTGAGCCACCCAGGCGCCCCTGAAAATATAAGGTTCTTAAATTACATGTGAAGAGGGGCGCCTGGATGGCTCAGTCCCTAAGTGCTTGACTTCGGCTCAGGTCATGATCTCATGGTTTGTGAGTTCGAGCCCCGCGTCAGGCTCTGTGCTGACAGCTCAGAGCCTGGAGCCTGCTTTGGAGTCTGTCTCCCTCTCTCTCTCTGCCCCTCCCCAGCTTGTACTTTGTCTCCCTCTCTCAAAAATAAATAAACACTAAAAAAAAAGTTTAAAAAATTACATGTGAAGAATTACAATATTATTTAAAATAGGTAAAATAAATAAGTAAATTAAGAATAAATAAAATAAAAACATACATAAAGAGACATAGCTAATAAACTCATAGTCTAGATAAAATGAAGTATTAAAAATGACTCAAACAAAAGGTAGAAAAAGAAAAGGTGTAAGAAACAGGTAAGACAAATAGAAAACAAATAGTGAGATGGTATACTTAAACCCAACCAGATCAATAATTACATTAATTGTAAATGGTCTGAGTACCCCAAGGAAAAGGCAGCGAGTAGGGGCACCTGTTTGGCTCAATAGGAAGAACGCACGACTCTTGATCTTGGGGTCATGATTTCAAGCTCCAATTGGGTGTAGAGATTAAATAAATACATATATTTTTAAGGCAGAAATTGTACAACCTTATTTTTTGAAATCAGAATCCAAGAATATGCAATCAACAAGAAATGTACCTTAAGTATATAGACACAGAGAGGTTAAACGAATGATTGATGCTGTGGCCTGAGGACTGGTGCCTCCCCCACCCCTACCCGCTCCCAGCACTCATGTGTTGAGACACTGTGGTTATATCAGGAAGAGGGGCTGTAGGAGGTGCTCACGTCATGATAATAAAACCTCATGCTGGAATTCATGCTCTTATAAAAGAAGCACCAGAGACATGTTTAAGCCCTTCCATCATGGGAAAACACAGAGGAGCTGGCCATGAACCACAAAGAGGGCCCTCACTAGCTTGCAACCATTCTGGCCCTTTGATCTTGGACTTTATTATTATTTTTTTTTTTTAAGTAAACTCTACCCCCAATGTAGAGCTCAAACCCATGACCCCGGGATCAAGAGTCACATACTCCACTGACTGAGCCAGCCAGGCCAGTGCCCCAGTCCTGGACTTTCCAG